TCAATGGAGTTAGAACACTTGAAAACAAAATCTGTTTATCACAGGTTCTCTTTGATTCGGGTTTGTCCAGCTCGCTTAATTGGAATTTCTTCTTGTGCTCTTCCTATCACTGCTGCTTCTCACGCTCAAATCAGTCAAGACTGCACATTAAATCAGTTAAGATAGTTTATGTTCCAGACTCAAATCCACAATGCTCAATTGCAATCAAACATGCATGCTGTCAAAACCCGATTACCAAACAGATTATCAAACAGTCTAAACTGTTAAGAACCAGCAGACTTCTACAAATCAAATCAGACTGTTAAGAACTCAGAATCAAATTCAAAAGTAGAAAATCAAATAACAGCTACAATCAAATGAATATCAAACCAAAATCAGGTCTGCTCAATGTGAAAACTAATAATTCAATGAATGAACATTGAAGTCAAATACTGCAGCTTCAAGACTGTTTTAAAATTTGATCAAAACTGCAGCTTCAAGCAAATTGACTGGAGGTCTGGACAAACTTACACTCGACAGCTTCTATAATGATACAGTCAGAAGAACCAACCAGACTGGACACTCAAGATTGAAATACAGAAACACAAACATCCAGCAAAGCCTTTTCTGCTATGCTTTTTGTTACCACACTGTTCTTTCAAACAAATTTTCCTTGAGCTGTTGAGTCTTCCAAACCAATATTTTCTATTGTACTTCTTCCCAATATTAAACTCTAAAATCTCAAATGGTTAGTCAGTTTATGATTGAAACAGCTTGTGTAAATCTAGCAAACACAAATGTAAAGCAGTAACTTCAGAATTCAGTCTCAATTGAGCCAAAATAAAACTCAAAACTCAATCAAATTTCCTCATCAATATTTGAAGGCTAAAAATAGTGAGTATGGTTTGCAAATTAGGATTAAACCAAAATGACCTTAGTAACGTGTAAGATATCTATGCAGCTTCCTCTCTTCTCTTCCACAAAACTAACTTTGTCACTGATTAATACACTTGAATAACCCTTGAAATCAACAAGACTATACAATTTAGCAAAAATAGGTCAAACAGCAGTTGTGAAGAAGATGAACATTCAAGCAATTTTCACCAATTGAATAACCAATCCAGTCACAACTCAAGTGATTTCCTAAATCGCATAACACAAGAATGAAAACAGTGAACAAGGTATTGATCGATTTATCCAAATGAATCAAGAAATAGTGAACAAATAAGAATCTGGGCAAGTTGAATTGAGCGGTTTAGAAGTCCGGACACTTATCCGGTCAAAAGGTGATCGGTTTATGAATAAACCGCTCAAACTAAACCTTGAAATGAAATGAAATCGAGAAGAAACAGCAAACCTGTTGATCGATTTAGAATCCGGTCAAGACTTCTGCGATTTAGCTCCTTAATCCGCTGAAGTAGTATGCGGTATAGCTTAAACCGCTCAAGACTTGTAAGAATCCGCTCAAGTACACCGATCAAGCTATGTGCGGTTTATACTTGGACTAGAAACTGATTGATGGTATTAATCACTCGGTGAACACTCCGGTCAAAGAGTATGCGGTTTACCTCTTATCCGCTCAAACTGAGTACGATCGATTTAGAAGCAAGAACTAGGAATGAGAGTCTGTGTTATGATCGGTTTGGACTGTTGGGCCATGAAGATGGGCTTATGAGACTGGACGGTTTAACAAAAATTAAAAGAACTCAAAATTAAAAACAGATCAAAAACTAACAAAAACACAAAAATAGAAAATCTTTTAAAAAAATGGATCAAAAACACTAGTTTTAAAAAAAATTCAAGAACACGAAAAAATTCAAGAACACGAAAAAATTCTAAAACACAAAATCCACCAAAAATTAAAAAACAAATGATCAAATCACAAATATTTGTGAGTAACAAAGATTCACAATTCAATTTCGATCATTTTGATCCTATTTATAACACGAAAACACAAGATTTAAAAAAAAATTCAGATCAAACAGAAGGAAAAAATTAAGAACTCAAAGAACTGAAAAAAAATTCAGAAAAACTAAATTTTTTTTTCAAAAACTTGATCTTTTACTCTGATTTCTTACACACTTGCTTTGATACCAATTGTTTGTCCCTAAATTCACTGATCAATCTTCATTAATCTTCATAATCATGGCAGATCAGAATATTGCATTCAAGAACATCAAGAACATTGAGAGAAAAAGTCAATCTTTACAATTCTGGTCAAACCTCTTATTACGTAAATGAATATACAAATGAGCTCTCTCTTTTTCAAATTACAAAGACAACCCATATTTATATGGTCAAACATCTAAAGACAAGTCAAAGTCAAACTCCTATAAGAAAAGTCAAACACGCTGACTTTTACAATTATAGACTATATTTAACTTTCAAGACGAATACAATTAATACTGATTTTCAAACCTAACAAGAGGGAAAGAGAGGGAGTTTCAAGTTTTGAAATGAGAAAATGAGTTGTAATTGGAGAAATGATGCTATTTATGTAATAGTCTGGTTATTATTTTTTGTTATATATATATGTATATATTTATTTATAAATATACATATATATATGATATATGTGAAGGTAATGTGTAGGTGTGTGTGTGGGAGTATTAAAATAGTAAAAGAAGGGAGAGGGGTCGGCTAATTAGCCGCCTCTCAATCTCCTTGTGGGTATGTATGTATATAAAGAAATTTGAGAAGGAAAAACACACACATCACACTTTCCATATTTAGAAGTTTTTCTCTGAGAATTTGAAGAATTCGCACAAGAAGAAGAAGAAAAAGGTTTCAACGGCTTTGATTCTCGACTTATTAAGGTGAGTGTATAGGGCTTTGAATATGA